AATTTACTGTAGTTCTTGTCACGTGTACGTCCAACTGCTTTTTCAGGTCAAAAGGTTGTGAGTGACAGCTGATAAGCAGCTACTAAGCAGACTGTGGCTCCAACTGACGTCCTCTACACATGATGTCATCCATCTTTATAAACTACGACCTAATTCACAAAATGAAAACAATGAGGAAGATATGACCAACTGGGCATTACAGAAAATGATCAGAAGACCAGGAAATGTAAACATAGGCTATATGTTAGAATACATGTGTTTCATAAACATCTTATCCTGTTTGTATGCATGTCTGTTCATTGGATAAAACATATAGAAAATATTTTCACTCATGGCAGTCATACTAAAACTGAAACCTTGCCTGTGCAATCCAGGGCACGTGGTCAAATCAATGCACAATCTTGAGCAAGAGGTTGCCAAACTAACCCGGGGCTCACATTACTAATGTGATCTTTCACCAATGGCCCAATAGATACATTACAATCCTTCACACATTACAACCATCCGGTGTTGAAGCACAGAAGAAACATGAACATACAAATACCTCCCATTATCATATCATATATCAACATCAGATTACATAATGGACATTGTACGTCACGAACAAGGACAACTATGGAGGCCGAGAGCTCAGTGTACTGCACCATAAGAAAGCAAATGCAAAAACAGCGTGTTGACAGCACATGCTAATCACATGCTAGAATGAGTCACTAAGACAATGCTGGGAGGGAAAGTAGTTAAATGTTGTTTTACCAAACCGAAATATGGATCAGGTCAGATACAGTGGTGATGGATGGTGAATAATCAAACACTCTTCGTCCATGTGATTCGCTCTTTCTAAGCCATTCATGCTGCCACAAGTGCAACTGGAAATTCACACGGATTTTTTATATACTTTGAGAAAAAAAACCTGAAATGAACAGAAGGAAGTGAGCAAACAGTAAAGTGCAAACTGCTTGTGTTCGTTTAGGGTTTCTTAAACATCACAACATAAGGGGGGGGATAACTATTGTAGCCTTCTAGTTTAAAATGTTGTACACTTTCACTCTCTTCTTACTTATTTGTACAAGGTTTTTTTTGGACAGCAACAGTGTGCCACTACCAACCCTGCCTACTTTCCAAACACAAGTTCAGTGTGTGTGTGTTTAATTATCAGATGGTTATTTTCTTAATAAATCTTCCCTGAAGCCCAAGTTAACATATTTAAATTGTTCTGTTTTATCTGACCAACAGTGAAAACCATCAATATTTGAATTTACTATGACAGAATACCAGGATAAATACATTTTTGTAACTCTAGCCATTCATTTCCTGTCAAGATCCAGGAAGTTGGTCCAGATCTTGCAGTTTGCTTTGCTGAAAACTAGAGGTGGTAAATATCACAGTACCTCGGTTGGATCTAATAATAACTAGTAATAAGGTCAAAATCACTGATATCAATACTTTATTTTGTTAAAAACAGTGAATGCACAATCATGTAAGGGGGAGAACTATGACATGATATATAATGTGAATGCATAATTAATATGAATTAATGAATATACTTATCATGTAATAATTTGTCAAATACACAGCCTTCTTTTGAACATCGGCTGCTAATGATTTGTCACATGCATGTTTAAATATGTATAAAAAAAAAAAAAATGATCTGAGGTGTGACACAACAGCCACAGAGATGCCCTGCAGCATGTGCATGTGCTCAGGATGAGAACTAACATGAGATGGATCCATAATATTTGGCATCAGAAATATTGATAAAAGTATTTCAAACACTATGAACTATAGCAGCTGGGATGCAGCTAATGAATATCTACATTATTGTTGACTAATCTTATTGTTCAGACTCTTAATTCATCTCATGTTTGTGTATTTACATCTTATTTTACCTTAATCTTCTACCTAGCTTTTTGTGGTTATTGTATTACTTCATGTAAATTAACTGTAGCACATTCTGAGCTGTATTTCATGTATGAAAGGTACAAATAACGTATATTATTATTATTT